ACGACCTTCAGGTCCAAAGTGCTCGAAGTGACGCTGACTTGAGGCATATCCTCACATCTACCACAAACCGGTCTATTCTCCTCATTGAGGACATCGACTGTGGCACAAAAGTGTCTCGTGATCGTGCCAAGGTTCAAGATGATCAACAAGAAAAGGAGGATGAGCAACCGAATCGCATTTCTTCTAGTGATCCTGGGGTAATTATATGCATGATTCCCTTCCATTGCTTTTTCAATTGTTATTCCTCTTTCCACTATTTCATTTTCTGGCCATTGCAACTTGTGACTTCTCAAATTTAAACTGTAGGAAAAATGTTTGGCTTCAGACTAATGAGATTTTTACAGAAGCTTTATTTTGTCTGATAAATTTCTACATTTTGGATATATTCACATATAGATATATTGGTGATTTAAATAAAGTAACAAACCTGTAGGATTTGGGCCACAGCCACCCTGGCCCGGCAGGGTCAATCTGTGCAAAGCCTGTGGCCCATTATGTTCCAGTTCTACTGCTATAACTCTATATTGGTGTTTCTTTTTTGTTTTGATCATCACATGTTTACTTGTCATGATTTTGTAGGTAACGCTGTCAGGATTACTCAACTTCCTCGATGGCTTATGGTCGAGTTGTGGGAATGAGCGGATCATCATTTTCACCACAAATCATAAAGAGAAGTTGGATCCAGCTCTGTTGCGCCCTGGACGAATGGATGTCCATATTCACATGGGCTATTGCACTCCTGTCGGGTTTAGAAAGCTTGCAGCCACATATCTTGGAATCCAAGACTGTTCTTCCTTTGTTACCATCGAAAAGCTTTTACAAAGCATGACGGTCACTCCAGCCGAAGTAGCACAGCAGCTCATGAAACGTGACGAGCCTGAAGCTGTACTTGAGAGTTTCATTCAATTCCTTGAGGCGAAAAGGAATGAAAATGGGGAATCGGGAGCTCAAACTGAGAAACAGGACGGCTAAAAATGCTGAAGATAAACTCTTACCTTTCTTCTAATATGAATGGCCTTCTCCTATTGGCATCCAATAATGTAAAAGCAAATTTCCGCTTCAGTCTGTTTGATTATTGAATTCCTGACAATACCTTGCCTTTGGTTCAGTTGTTCCTCAAGAATTGTAATAATAATAGAATTATTAGAGAGCTGACACATGTTAAAACAAGGATGGCCTCAGTCTGGGCCCAGCCCAAACAAAAAAAATACTTGTGTTCAAACTCCAACCAAGCTTGTGATTCTTTAAGGGTAAGCCTGCCTGCTCATCATAACTGTATTTCTTATATAAAAAACAAATAATGTATATAAAAGTAAATAGGACATTCAAATATATACAATAATAATAATAAGTATAGTATATTTCACACATGGTCTCTTTATACAAGTAGCTTCAACTATATAAACAAATAAAACTCTAGTACTATGTAAACAAATAATTAGATTCCGTGGTTTTAGCTATTGAAGTAAGTTGTTCACATGGTGTTTTTGCTGCTGTTTTGGTATGCTTTAACAAAAAATGCAAAACTTAAGGATCAATCTATCCATTAAGTTATAAAGGATATAGAGATTGCAATTGTTAGACTGAGAATGCTGATGATGATGGAAGGAGAGTGATGAAGAGATATGATCAACATCATCATCATCATGTACGGGAACGGTCATGGGCATGACGTGTATGATGATTTGGTAGGTTGCAAAAGGATTAGGCCCACAAACACCTTTAGAAGCCAACCTAAGAAGATAATGTGATCCCATAAACAGCTCATTACAATCAATCATTTGCCCATCCTCAATTGTATGAATGTGGGTCCTAACATATCCTCATGAATCACCAAGTTGGTTAAAAAGGAGTTCATCTAACCTTTGTTTTTTTTTTAAAAAAAAATTATAGTAAACAAGATGGGGATAAAAAAAGGCTGACTGCTTGCTAACATATTAAGATTAGGCAAATACCAATTATAATCTCTTGTCCTAATCTTACCAAATATTATTATTATAATAATAATCTAAGACTAATTTATCATTATTGTTCTAGAACTGTGTTTCGGGGGGCGGGGCTTTCTTCGTAATAATTAAGGATGTCCCTTAATTATATGTTTAAAAATCAGATGATCTATGGGCCTAAAACTTGGCAAATGCATGCTTTGCTTAAGGTTAAATGAAGAGTAAATGATGGCCACAATGATATGATTTCCTCCTTTGTGGTTTAAGACTCCATTCTCAATTGCTTAATTTAATTATTTGAGTTCTTCTTATTTACTTTTTGCTTTTCAAACATACTGAAAAGTAAAAGTAAATAATAAAAAATATAATGAGTAAATTGTTAGGATTCCTAATCATTTCACAACATTATTTGCTTTTATATCTAAACCTATTTTTAACCCTTTTGCTTCAAACTAAAACAATTAAGAGCCAAAAGTAAAAACAGTTAAGCACGGTGTCTATCTTCTGTAGAAATAATGAATATCTTTGTCATTTATTTATTTTTATTGAAAAACCATTTTTTTTCAAGTTATATTATTATTTTTGACTAATGACGGATAATTGAATAAATTTTGTTTCTAATTTGCTAGTAAACTGATATATAAAATTTTCTATTTTGATATAGAGAAGAAAGAAAAAGATTTTTAAGGGTCATATTCTTATTAAAACATAAAATTAGTGAAAATCTTCACTATTAGTAGTGAACATAGTAGCTGCCATAGACATAAAAGGGACCATTTACAACGGATTGGTTCTGTTCTGTTTTGTTATTTGATATATAAATTCTGGGTTCGACTCCACCTTAATAAAAGAAATAAATATCAGGTGTAATTTGTTATGTAGTTTGACAATTTCCAATGTATAGCATTGTCTCAAGTAAACAAGACCAGGTCAAGAGGATGGTCAGAGAATAAAGTCATCGTCAATAGACGGCCCCGTTTTTGCTTACCTTCTTGGACCTCAGTCTGTCGAAACAAATCTATAATTTGCCTGGTAAATTGTAGACCACCCTGTTGAAAAAGAAATCTTTAAAATATTTACATGTTTCTTTCGAAACCTTATGGAAATTATCAATACTACTAAGTCAATAAAAATAATTAAAGCGATCGAGCAGCCATTGTATAAGGTTTTATATGATGCTTACATTAAAATAAAAATAAAAATGCCTTAACTAAGTCAAATTTTGCTCTAACCATGTTCCTACTTGACAAATTTATAGGTTTAGATAATATAAAATCTTGGAATTACATCAATTTATACTACTGAATCTTTAAATTTTTATTATAGTTAAAAACTTTTATCCATATGAATGTTAACACGTTATATCATCAGCACGTAATACTCGAATATTTGACTTATTTGTTTGTGCATTATCCCTCTATTTAAAAAGTAAGGTTCGAATTTTTTTTTTAATTATTAAAAAAATATTAAACTAATAAATATAATTTTGACTAATAATATTTAGTTAATAATTAATGATAAAGGAGTTTATTTAATGTGATATAAAAATACTGAGATTTAATTGACCTTGATAAGAATATAAGGGTTATGCTAACTTTTTTGTTATAATTCATGGACTTGGTTGTATGAACTCATGTTTGCTCTCTATATATATAAAAGAGATAAAAATAAAGACGGAAGGGCGCGACAAAGTCAAAGGCCAAAACGCTAATGGGCGTGAAAAGACGGGATGTAGGACATCACAAGTCAAAACACATGCTGAACGTTAAAAGCATTGGCTGCCATCATGTACTCTAAGTATGTATATATAAATAAACTATTTAGTGCTTAATTGGAATTAGGGTGTGGGAGGAGGCACAGCCATTAGTTGAGTAAGATAACCAAATGAATCTTGTTTTAATCTATAACTCTAATTTTTGTGATAAAGGGTTTAGGGTGAAATGTCGCAACCACTAATGACGTCGTTGCATATGTGAATTAGTACTAACATAATTAGCTGTTCGCCGCCCTTAATTACTTTTAAGATAATTATCAATAAATCCTATTCGTCCTCATATGGTCCATTCTCCTCAACTTGCTTTTTTGGCATTCAATTTAACATTCCGATTTATTTGGTTGCAAATGACTATTTTAGGCATTATTTAATTCATGTTTTTTTTAAATACAAATATAATCTTATATCATATTATACACAAAGTTTTTTAGATGATAAAATGTAAAATTTTATTTTGTAATTGTTTATCTAATTTAAATTAATTAAAATATTGATTTTTATTTTTTTATTTTATAATCACTTTAATGAAACATTATTGCTTAAAATTATGTATAAATTTCATAGTTAATTTTAGTGAAAAACGAATTGGGAGATTTTTATTTTCCTTTTTGATTTTAATAAATATAGTATAAATAATTAAAACGTACTCAATATATTAAAATATTGCGTCATCAGTAGAGGCGGTTTGTGATGGGGAAATTTGGGTAACTAGTCAGACGTGTCGTCCTACCCTAGCCGACCTCCTTTATGTCTCCTTCCTAGCCTGGCCAAGTAGCCATCGCGAGCTGCAAGCTGATGCCTGATGACATGGAACATTTATCGAAGCCTTGTGCTGAGGGCCTGGTCGGTCCAACCCACCCTTCCGGTTTGGAAACAATATGACGGAATTACATTACACCTTAGTCCCAATAACGTAGAGAAATACCCAATCGTGGTATTTGAATTAAAATAAAATATTATTAACATAATTATATAAATTATAAATTAAATCAGTTTAAATTTATCAGATTATAATTTGATTTTTTTAGATCATTAAGTTAAGAATCTTATATACATATATATAATTAATCTTTTGGTAAAAAGACATATTACTTAGATAGTGTATTAATGCTGTTTGTGGTGACAACTTATTTGTCACATGGTTTAGTTATATCATTAAGTTATCAAATTCTAGCAAAATGTTTTGTTATGTCATCTGTTAATCAATTACGTATTCTATCACATCATTTATTTATCATATGTTTGTTTTATCAAATCATCTTATCATATGTTTGTGCTAATTTTGATCTTTTGGTTCTGATTTATCATATGTTTATGCTAATTGTTTTATCAAAGCAATTACAATGTGGATCCAAAGTATGAGAAGTTTTCTAGTTATGGGGTAGATGAGGGTGTTACCAAGTTTGCAAAAAACCTTGAAGATGGAGATAACAAAAATCATCATATCATTTCTTCGTTTTATAATGTCTCTATTCCCAACATTCATTTGCAATATGCTAATTTTTGAGACAACAAAGGAGATTTAGTCACTTAGGATTTTCTTGTTATCAAGTATAAAACTTATAGATTGACTCATTCTTATCAATTATAAATCACTATTCATAATTTAAAACAAGAATTCTACCCATCATAAAACAATTTTTAAATTTAAATTTAACTTATTTAAAATCAACCGACTTAATCTAAAATTCATAACAGTTATATTCAAAACTTAATATTATTATACTATTAAAATCCTTCGAACTGATGATAATAAAATGAAATATCAAGATTTTCACTTCTTCAGTTGCTTGGTCAGAATGGTACTATGGTTCACTTCTTTGTTACTTTCCCTCAAAATTCTTTTTAATTTGAAACTATTGAAAAATTACACTTTTAAGAAATAGGAATTATAAATTCTTTTATTTCCATATATCCAAAGAAAATATTAGACCAAGTCACTCACCTGTTATCATAACTTTTTTAAATTTTCTTTACACACCCAAAAATAATAATAATAAAAAGATGGGCTATTGGCTTTGTTGACTTGGATTGAGATTGACTGTAGTGGAAGAAATTGTCAAACACCATCCGTACGGGCATCAACTTCACATTGCGAAATGGACAATGGTCAACTTGTGCAATTTGTACTGTGAAAAATATAATCTATGAATATTAGTAGCAAACTTTTTAGCACAAAGCCAAAGAGTCAAGACTTTTATAACAATCCTTTTTTGGGTATGAAGTCTTATTTAAATTACGTGCCACGTTACACGATAAAACTATATATTAATCTTTGTCAATATTTTAGGTACTGCTGTTGATATAAATTCAACCTCATCTATTAATTTATAAGTTTCCAAAGTCCATTTTTATAATCATATTTCCTCATAAATTTTATATACTTTTTATAATAATTAAATACTTATTTTGAGATATAACATTTATCAAATTATTCATTTTATTTAATTTAAATAAGGATGCCAATTAAAGAAAAATAGGTACTGTCTCAATATAATCAAATCCCACCTTTATGTAAAAATTTTTCAATTTTGTATTGAATATTCTCACATTATGTGTTGGCCAGTCTTTTTAATTTTATTTTTTTCTCTCTCCTTTTTTATTTCATTTATGTCAATAATAGTAATAATAA